GAAGCTTTTTAAAATTTTTTTTTATTTTATTGTTATTTTTTGAGACAGTCTTGCCGTGTTGTGCAGTGGCATGATCTTGGTTCATTGCAACTTCCACTTCCTGGGTTCATAGGATTCTCAGCCTCCCGAGTAGCTGGGATTACAGGTGTCTGCCACCATGCTCACTGAATTGTTTTGTGTTTTTTTAGTAGAGATGGGATTTTGCTCTGTTAGCTAGGCTGTTCTCAAACTCCTGGCCTCAAGTGATCCACCCACCTCAACCTCCCGAAGTGTTGGATTACAGGTGTGAGCTACCATGCCTGGCTAATAAAGAGCTCTTGTCCACCTTTAGATTTCATTTGCTGACTTGGGGAGAGTGGTTTAAATGGAGGGTTAAGAGAAAATGCTGGTTTTCAGCTGGTTGATGGCAAATGGAAAGGCTTAGATTAAAGTACATTTTAAAATGTAGTTTTGTGTGTAATTCTGGAAAATTCCTTCCTAAAAATTACTGGTCTTGTCTTTGAAATTCACTGGTAACATTGCTTATCCATCTCCCTTAAAATGCTATTTCAGGCTGACTCTTGCTTGTGGTGGGGTAGCCCTGAATTCTTTTGACGACCTAAGTCCTGACTGCTTGGGACATGCAGGACTTGTGTATGAGTATACATTGGTAAGTGTATTTTCTTCTTTAAGGTAATAGAACCTTTTAACTCATGAATTATTTTTGTTTGTGTGAGATGGGGTCTCACTCCTGCCCGGGCTGGCGTGCAGTGATGTGGTAACAGTTCACTGCAGCCTCATCTTCCTGGGTTCAAGTGATCCTCCCTCCTCAGGCTCCTGAGCAAATGGACCACAGACATGTGTGCTACCATGCCTGGCTAAATTTTTTTTTTTTTTTTTTTTTTGGTAATTATTTTTGTAGAAACAAGTTCATACTGTGTTGCCCAGGCTGGTCTTAAACTCCCGGGCTCAGGCTGTCCTTCACCCTCAGCCTCCCAAAGTGCTGAGATTACGGGCATGAGCCACTGTGTTCATGAAGTCTTGAGCAGAAAAATTAATTGAAATTCAGGATCAGATTTTTGTTTGGGGAAAATCCCATTTCTTTTATATGTGATTTTTCAAAAGGAGATAATTTGCTTTAATGTGATCAAGTTTGTTCCTTATTAATATGCTGCTTGTCATTCTCTGTAAGTCCCTCTTCTGTCTTCACTCTCTGCACAAATCCTGTTTTTGAAAATCGTATTTTTTCTACACATAGGGAGAAGAGAAGTTCACCTTTATTGAGAAATGTAACAACCCTCGTTCTGTCACATTATTGATCAAAGGACCAAATAAGCACACACTCACTCAGATCAAAGATGCAGTGAGGGATGGCTTGAGGGCTGTCAAAAATGCTATTGATGATGGTAAGATCCTCACCGTATTTCAATTCTATTATATTGTTTTGCTGGTCTGAAAGGCATGGCCGAATACTGTGTTCTTTTATCAGTAGTTTACACAGCCAGACACCATGCAAAAGCAGTCTTCCCTTTAGAATGACCAATGGTATGCTAAGATTTTTCATAGCATATCATTATTAAAGGTGAATACAGATAAATGAAATAATACTGATCTGTTGAAAGAGCTGCCAGCGGCTAGTGAAGCCGTTCTGTTGAAACATTCTCCTATTTGATATGTTAGTCGCTTGTATTTTGTCATAGTAAATTTGTAAGAAATTAATGGCTTTCATATGTGTATTTTAGTTGTTCATAATTAGTTCTGCAGTTTTCTTAGCATTTTTCCTTTTCCCCCATTCAACAGGCTGTGTGGTTCCAGGTGCTGGTGCTGTGGAAGTGGCAATGGCAGAAGCCCTGATTAAATACAAGCCCAGTGTAAAGGGCAGGGCACAGCTTGGAGTCCAAGCATTTGCTGATGCGTTGCTCATTATTCCCAAGGTGTGCACGCTTTTAACAGTCAATCTTCCAAAAGATTTAGCTGATCAAACCTTTTTGATAATGTAGGCTTTATTCATAATGTGGATTTTGGATAAGCAAGTTTGATCAGTTTTCTTCCTGACTCTAGAACAGGTATTCCTCATCATCCAAATGTATTTGGTTTCTCTGGGAGGCCTGAATAACTGACGTTTCAGATAACAAGAGATAACCTGTAGTTTAATATTTGCAGTATTAGGGGTTATACTTGAGTACAAACTTGCTTTTTGCTTTTGTTTTAAACTGATACTATTTTCTATTATATACTAATTTTGAGGTATAATTTATGACTGGTATATTGCTGTTGGGTTTGAGGTAGATGAGAGAATTGATCAGTAACTTGTGTCTGGTTATTCTCTGAAGGAAGCATAAATTTCTGTCTTCATGCAATGAGATTTTTTTGTTTGTTTGTTTTTTTGAGACGGAGTTTTGCTCTTGTTGCCCAGGCTGGAGTGCAATGGTGCTATCTCGGCTCACTGCAGCCTCAGCCTCTCAAGTAGCTGGGATTACAGGCACTTGCCACCACACCCAGCTAGGTTTTTGTGGGGTTTTTTTTTTTTTTGTATTTTTAGTAGAGATGGGGTTCCACCATGTTGGCCAGGCTGGTCTCAAACTCCCGACTTCAGGTGATCCACCTGCCATGGCCTCCCAAAGTGCTGGGATTACAGGCATGAGCTACTGCACCAAGCCAAGATTTTCTTTTTCTTTTTTTCTTATCTTTTTTTTTTTTAAGTTATTCCTGTTTTCTCAAGAATTAAATTTGTTTACTTTAGGTTCTTGCTCAGAACTCTGGTTTTGACCTTCAGGAAACATTAGTTAAAATTCAAGCAGAACATTCAGAATCAGGTCAGCTTGTGGGTGTGGACCTGAACACAGGTAAGAGAATGCAACTGTTGTAGAGGGAAAACTAGATGTAATACATGTGAGTTGAAGCCAGGAAAGATTGAAAATGGGGACCAAAAAAAATGTTTTGCTTTAAAATTTGACACCAGTACTATTAGGGAACTCTGGGTTCTAAAATACGATAAAATAGGATATTAATAAAAAATGGAATGACTAGGTATAATTAAGGGACTAGAGTAGACATGAGTAATTTGGGGATACAATTTTGGAGATGTTGAGTAGTGGTAGATGGTTCAGATTAATGTTGAAGGATTTTCATATTGCATTTGCCTTACTTAGTTTTTAATCAAGTACTATGATAAAATAGATTTGGTGATTATATTCCTGGATGAAAACCAGCTAAAGATAGCAATTAATGCCAGAAAAGGGGATCTCGAAATGTAGTGAAATGGTGACAGCCCTAATCTTAGGTTCCTGTAAACAAAACAACACAAATTAAGTACAAAGTAGGAGATAACAGGTACATCCATGCAGTATGTGCAGGACCTATTGTTGTCAGCATTATTATTTAATAGAAAAGGTTTCCGGAATGAGGGAAATGATCAGTCCATTTTAGCCAGATTATAGTTGAAGTGCTATGCTTCAGTATGAGTAAACAGAAATCTATCCAGAAGAAGAGCGGGGGTGTTCAGGACTTCTCAGTAGAAGTCAGACACTCATCAAATATTGTGTTTAGAGTAGAACATTGGGCTAACAGAGAAGCTTTGAACTCTCATAGTTAATGCTGAAGGAAATGAGTCATCAGTGATAAGCAAAGCCACACACAATATTGTTGGTTCTTATTGACTGAACTTACTTGAAGAAGATTTGGTTGCTTTTTAGGTGAGCCAATGGTAGCAGCAGAAGTAGGTGTATGGGATAACTATTGTGTAAAGAAACAGCTTCTTCACTCCTGGTAAGTTTGGGAAAATGAAAACTAAACTGTTAGAGAATCATACTCTTCATTTGGTGTGTTCTGTTTAGTTGCTCCTTTTCCCCCCGTGAATAATGTAATCAGCTGGAAGTATGGAAACTGAACTAGCCCTCTCTGATGTTTAGAGGGGAAGGGGAAAATTTAATTGGATGTAATGTGTGCAGCTTGGTTGGAAGTGGGAAATTGAGTAGAATTAGGACTCCTAATCATCTGAGCCATCTTATTTTTGTCCCCCTTTCAGCACTGTGATTGCCACCAACATTCTCTTGGTTGATGAGATCATGCGAGCTGGAATGTCTTCTCTGAAAGGTTGAATTGAAGCTTCCTCTGTATCTGAGTCTTGAAGACTCTGCAAAGTGATCCTGAGAGAATACAGCTGTGGAATTTTTGTCCAAGCTTCAAATGATTTCCAAAGGAATTTTCCCATATGAAAAAAGGAGAGAACACTGGCATCTGTTGAAATTTGGAAGTTCTGAAATTACAGTATTTTTAAAAATTGCACTGAAGCGTATACACATAAAGCAGCTCTTTTACCCAGTAAACAGGATGTTTTGCTTTAGCAGCAGTGACATAAAATTCCATGTTAGATAAGCATATGTTACTTGTTATTAAATATTCCTTGAAAAGCAAATTTTAATGGCTTAATTTTATGTAGACGTATGTTAAATTATCCAACAGTACCCTATTAAACATTTGGTTTTAAAATTTTTATGCTAATATAAACAAGTAATTTAAAATTTTGAAAGCATCCTTGTTAGTATAAATTTCTGAGTAAATGCATTGGGTCAGTTGGACTTTGAATGCTTTTAAAATGGCTTTGCTAAAATGCTCCCCCCCTCCACAAAGTTAAGTTGTAGGAAATGGGAAGAGGAGTAAGCTAGAGGCAAGGGAGTTGAGAGAGCTGCAAGTATAAAGAGGCAAAAACAGGCAGAGGTAAAAAGGTGATACAAGGCGTGGTGACTAAGGGTTACGGTTATTGGGTTAAATTTGAGAGTTGTAGGCCGACTGTGTTTTCAAGCTTCTGAACTTTTGCTTATGCAAAATATTCCAAAGCCTCTAGTGTCATATTTTTCTCACCCAAATTACTGCGTTCCACGAGATTATATAGTTGGTCTATCTCAGCAGCCCTTGAAGGTGGAGTTGTGTGTGTTACTAGGCTGTGTTTTGGGGGTGTCAGCAGTGGCCTGAAGTGAGTTGTGCAATAAATGTTAAGTTGAAACCTCCTTTCTGGTCTTGCAATGGTATGACGCACAAAAGCAATCTTAAGGGGAATGTAAACTGCCCAAAAGTTCAAAAAAGTAGTGAGGGGGTCTCTGGAACGGACGGGACCCTTAAACGTGGTTTTCCTTAATTCGCTGGGCGGCCCTGAAGGTGGTGTGGTGAGTCCTCCGCCTCGCTCTGTAAGTTTCCCCGTGCTGAACTGTAGGGTGAGGGGTGGGTGGTGGAGCAGCCTGCGCATGTGCGTAGAGCTTGACCGCTGCAGTGAAGGAGGGCGCATGCGCAGTGGGGCCGTGCGTGTGCGCGGCGCAGCGCACCAGTCCTGATTCCGGCATGGGTTGGTTGGTACCCCTCCTGTCCCTGCTGTTGCTCCTGGTCGGCGCATGGCTCAAGCTAGGTCAGTGAACCGGCCGTCCATCCCGGGGGCGCTGGGAAGGAGGTGGGGTGCTCCGCCCTGGCGGGAGAGAGCCCGAGGCCCCTCTGCTCGCCTTCGGGATGCGGCTGCAGCGGTCGGCTGGGGAGGTCGCTCTGGGCGCCCGTGGAGTCTCACTGCCTTGTACTTTCAACTTCGTGCGCTGGAATCTTTCAAACCTAAAAAAGGGAAAGAGAGGCCAGGCCCGGTGGCTCAAGCCTGTAATCCCAGCACTTTGGAAGGCCGAGGCGGGCACATCACGAGGTCAGGCAGTTCAAGAGCAGCCTGGGCAATATGATGAAACCCTGTCTCGGCGGGGCGCGGTGGCTCAAGCCTGTAATCCCAGCACTTTGGGAGGCCGAGATGGGCGGATCACGAGGTCAGGAGATCAAGACCATCCTGGCTAACCCGGTGAAACCCCGTCTCTACTAAAAAATAAAAAAAAAAAAAAACTAGCCGGGCGAGGTGGCGGGCGCCTGTAGTCCCAGCTACTCGGGAGGCTGAGGCA